TGCGGGCCGGAGGAGCAGGCCCCGCCCCCGTACCGCTCCCCAGAAGAGGGGCCCGAGGGCCACCGCCCACCAGGCTGTGACGGATCCTCGGACTCTCCTGGGACCCCCAAGAGAGGGAAGCAGTGGGACACGAGCTGAAGATTGAAGTGAGAGCTGGGAATGGAGACAGAAGAGACAGGGACAGGGAGACACACCGTGCACAGAAACCGACTGAGAGACCAGAGAGCTTGTGTGGGTTTGGTTCCTCCCCAAAGCAGACGCTGAGTCTAGGATTCGATTGAAGGGATTCGTCTGTGAGGGGATCCCAGGAACCAGGAGACGGAGCTGGGAAATGAGAGCCGGAAGGAGGTGAGAGGGAGAGGGGCAGCCACTTCGGACAGGCTGTCCACGTGGGCGAGGGATCCAACCTGCTGAGGACTCTGGAGGATGGGAGAGCACACCCTAGGGCTGTCCCACCAAGGACAGGAGGCTGCGTGTTTGTCCACCAAGTCCTGTCCCTCCTTGGCCGAGGGCACTTCTGGTCCAGCCGGGCACAGTCCCCCATGTCTCTGGGAGCTGCCTGCAGGGGACTGAGTTTAGCCAAAGGAATAAGGGCCGGGCACCAGCCACATCCAGCTGAGAGTGACACAGAGAGGTGGAGAAAAAGACAGAAAGAAGGGAATGAAAAGGGGAATGAGAAACACGGAAAAGAGACAAAAGTAGGGAGAGAGATGGACACAGAAAGGAGATAGCACAGGGAGACAGAGAAGAGAGAGGAAGAGGAAGAGGGGGCAAGTGTCCCCAGAAAATCAACATCAAATTCTATGCTTAATACTATTTTACGTGTCAGGCTAAAGTAACATAAAGAAAAAGTGTGCGGCTTGGGGAAGGGTATATATAAGAGAAATGGAATAGTCCCTGCATGGTGTAAACCTAAAAGAAGTAACAGACAAAAGTATAAAAATGAAGAGTTTTATTTGAGCCAAATTTTAGGATTTCAACTCAAGAAACACAAGTTCAAGTTGCTTTGAATTGCGCCCCCAAGGACAAAAGAAAAATCAGTAATATTTAAAGGAGAAAAGGAGAATCTTAAAGAAGGCAGTTCCAAAGTTGTTTTCCAAGAATTTACATTGGTTCACTAAAATAACACAGGCTACTGATTGGCTATACATTGTTCTTTGCATCATAAATTTCAATAACATTGCAACAAAAAAAGTAAGGGTCACATTGTATAATTAGTGATAATATTTAAGTAATCTATACCCTCAGGTGATGTCTGTCACCTAGAGTAGAAACTGCTACTAGATGTGCCTTTTTGCAGTTATCCCAGACGAGGGTGAAGGGGACATGACTGAAGCCCTATGCCCATATCTCCTGTTAAATTTAGCAGACTTTGCATTTCTTAGATTGTTCTGACTCTCTTTCTCAAAACGTATGATGAGTCTGTATATATATCTGTGTTTGCTATGGTATAGTGAAATGTACATATACCTTACTGTTCAAATTTTTTTATTTTTATTTTTTATTTTATTTTTTTCCCTTTTTGTCTTTTTTACTGACCGGTAACGGGATCGCAACCCTCGGTGTCGCGCCCGTACCGGGGACCGGCAACGGGATCACAACCCTCGGTGTTGCGCCCGCACCACACTCAGCCAGTGAGCGGGAACCAGTCTCCACATGGGATCCGAACCCTCGGCGGGAGCGCCGCCATGCTCCCAAGCGGCGCACTCTCCAGTGCGCCACTGGGCTGGTCCCTAAATTTTTTTTTTTATTTTTAAAAATATATATTGTGTGTTTTTGGTGCATTGTGCTACAAATTTTAACACATGTGTATTAGTCCATTTGTGTGGCTATAACAGAATACCTGAGACTGGATAATTTATAAAGAATAGAGGTTTATTTGGCTTACAATTCTGGGACAGCTGCATTTGGTGCGGGCCTCAGGCTGCTTCTACTCATGGTGGAAAGCAGCAGGCAGCTGCAGGTACAAGCAGATCACATGGCTAGAGAAAGCAAAAGAGGGAGAGGGGAGGTGCCAGGGTCTTTTTTAAACAACCAGCTCTGGCGGGAACTAATAGAGCGAGAACTCACTCAGGACCCTCACCCTCCAGGGAGAATATTAATCCATTCATGAGGGATCCGCCCCATGACTCAGCTTCCAACACTGCCACATTGGGGATAAGATTTCTGCATGAGTTTTGCGGGGACAACACATCCAAACTCTGTCAACATGTTAAATATGTGTAACTGACACCATAATCAGGCTATTGAAAGTTTCTTGGGGCCTGCCCGGTGGCGCACTGCTACAGTGCGCCGCTTGGGAGCGCGGCAGCGCTCCCACCGAGGGTTCGGATCCCACATGCAGACCGTTCCCGCTCACTGGCTGAGCGAGGTGCAGGCGCAACACCACCGAGGGTTGCGATCCCGTTGCCGGTCAGGTCCGGTCGCGACACTGAGGGTTGCAATCCGTTGCCAGACACGAAAAAAGACAAAAAGGGGAAAAAAAAAAAAAGAAAGTTTCATTGCTCCCCAAGAATGCCCTTGTACTATCTTTTGATTCAACTCCCTTCCCACAACTGTAACCCCGGCAAGGACAGATTTGTTTCTGCCTCCATAATTTTGTCTTTCCAGAATGTCATTTAAATTGAATCATACAAGATGTAACCTTTGACACAAAGCTGCGGAGATTCATCCGCATTGTTACCTGTGTCAGTGTTGTTGAGTAGCATTGTTTGTTTATCACCCACTGAAGGACATCTAGGTTGTACCAGATTATGGATAGAGCTGCTGCAAACATTTATGTACAGAAATTGTGAAAAAATAAATTTCTGTGGTTTAAGCCACCCAGCCTGTGGTATTTTGCTATGGCAGTCTGAGCAGACTAATACATCCCATAAATGTAGGCAACTTTTATCATTAGAACAACTTTATTATAAAAAAGGAGAAAAAATTAAAGGGAGAGTTCTAGCCCAAATCTCACACCAGAATGGCTTAGGATGCCTTTCAAAGATAGTTTTTCTTCCTCCAGTCTCTCCACTCACCAGATCAAATGTTCTGAACTTTACACATTATCATCTGGGAAGTTTATCACTCGGTTCATCTGTGGAGGGTCCCAAGAGTCAGCATTATTAACATGCATCCCAGGCAAAGGCACAGCACTGTCTTGAGGCGCCTAGTGAAGAAGCCTAGTGAATGCTGAAATCTGGCCCACACCTGGCCTGGTGTGGGCTAAGGTGTTTTTTATTTTGCACAAAGGCACTGATGGAATTTGGATGTGTTGTCCCCTCCAAAACTCATGTGGAAATTTGATCCCCAATGTAGCAGTGTTGGAAACTGATTGAGTCATTGGGCGGATCTCTCATGAATGGATCAATGCTCTCCCTAGGTGGGGGGAGTAATGAGTGAGTTCTCGCTCTATTAGTTCCCACGAGAGCTCATTGTGTAAAAGACCCTGGCACCTTCTCTCTCTCTTCCCCTCGCCATGTGATATGCTTGTACCCGCTGGCTGCCTGCCCTGCTTTCCGCCATGAGTAGAAGCATCCTGAGGCCTGTGCCAGATGCAGCTGCCCCAGAATTGTAAGCCAAATAAACCTGTTCTTTATAAATTATCCAGTATCAGGTATTTCTGTTATAGCAACACAAACGGACTAAAACAGGCACCATCGACTCACCAAGAGGCTTGCACCCCAGGACTATACCAACAAGAGGTGGCACCTTTTTACTCTTTGAACAGACACTTATTCTTGAGCACCCTAGATCCCAGCTGATTCTAATTCAGATAATTTCGGTCTCCATTTTGTGCTACAAACACAACACTTTTGTAGGCCCCTAAGATTTCCTAATGAAGGAGAGCTGTAAGTTTTCCTAGGAGTAACGTTAAAGACTGACAGGCTGAGAGACAGATGAAGGTTTGCTAGAACAGCCTGGAAAATTACCTTATAATGATAGATTAAGCCACAGAGCAAAAAATGGAGCAATGCTAGGGACTGATAAGATTTTACCCTTTGCTATTTACTCAGAGACCCTAAAGTTAAGGCAAGCATATTTCTTTAAAAAATGACACAATAAAATAACATTGCTTGTTACTCACAATGATGGATTTTTAGGTAATTTAAATTACTCCAGAAGAAAATAACACTTATATGGGTAATCATTTTAACAAATGAGATGGTAGGTGCCAACATTTATTTTTAGCAATATAGAGAAATTCCTCCAAGAAACAGATGTGCTCTCAAGTGAGAGAAAATGAAAATCCACTATGAGAGAAAACCGAAGACTTCAATACAAATTTAAATAAGGAGGCCTGGTAATGGAAAAGCTGACTGAGGTGTCTGGGGGGAATGTTTCGGTCTGTAATGTTAAAGACTGACAGGCTGAGACAGATGTTTCTCATTTTTCACCCAGGCTGTGGTTTCCAAATTTAATCAAGGGATTATTATGCTCTTGGATGACACTGAAAAATCTCCTCAACTAGCAGATCCGTATAAAATCTCATCAACTAGCAGAACTGTGACTGGCAGGCCTTGCCCATGAGGATTATCGAAGGAAGAAGCCTCTTTGACAGTCTTTGCCTGCATTATTTGGAACTTTTGTCAAGGAGTCATCAGGTCCTGCTGACCATGCATCAGGCCAGTGTGTCTGTAGCCAGGATTCTGTGAATTATTTATCCTGCCTCAGCTCGAGCTCCATCTAAAAGCTGTCACTGTGTGGGACAGAGACTAGAGGGCTTTTCCCTGGCATGTCCTGCAATGTGGGTGGTGAGTGCCCCCATGTAGGTAAAGCTCCTTCCACACTCATTACAAGAAAAAGGCCTCTCCCCACTGTGATGGTGCAGATGGGTCTGCAAACTTCTCTTCTGGAGGAAGCCTTTGCCACACTCAGGACACCGGAAGGGCTTCTCTCCACTGTGTGTGTGCAAATGGACCCTCAAACTTCCCCTTATGCAGTAGCTCTTGTCACACTCTGGACACTGGAAGGGCTTCTCACCACTATGGACTCGAATATGTTCTGTGAGCCTGTACTGCTGAGTGAAACTTTTGCTACACTTAACACAAGAGAATGGCTTTTTGCCACTGTGCTGGAGCTGGTGGCTTTTCAAATTTCCTTTGAGACGGAAACGTTTATCACATTCAGGGCACTGGTAGGGCTTCTCCCCACTGTGTACTCTCAGGTGTTCAGTGAGTTGAGACCGCTGAGAGTAGCTCCTGCTGCACTCACTGCACGCAAAGGGCTTCTCGTCCCTGTGTATCCGCTGGTGGAACTTCATGGAGGCCTTCCAGAAGAAGCTCTTGTCACACTCAGGACACTGGAAAGGCTCCTCCCCACTGTGAAGCCTCATGTGCTCAGCGAGATGCGAGCGTCTGCGGAAACTGCGGCTGCACTCAGCGCAGGAGAAGGGCTTTTCTGTGGTGTGGATCTTGAGGTGCTGAGTGAGCCTCGACTGCCGAGGAAAGGTCTTTTTGCATTCACCGCAGGGGAATTCCTTCTGCCTGTTATGGACTCTGGTGTGGCGAGCAAGCTTGGAGGGTCGCGTAAATCTCTTGCCACACTCCCCACAGGAGAACGGCTTGTCCTCACTATGCAGACGCTGGTGGGCTTTCATGGCATTCTTCCAGAAGAAGCTCCTATCACACTCTGGACACTGGAAGGGCTTCTTCCCGCTGTGCTGAAATCGATGGGCTTTTAGGCTTCTCTTTAGGCGGAAACATTTATTACACTCAGGACAAGGAAAAGGCTTCTCTCCTGTATGAACTCTGATATGTTCGGTGAGTTTAGTCTTGTAGATAAATTTCCTACCACACTCATCACAAGAAAACGGCTTCTCTCCACTGTGAGTCCTCTGGTGGGTCTTCAGGGCAGCCTTCCGAGAAAAGCCTCTGCCACACTCCGGACAATGGAAGGGCTTCTTCCTACTGTGCTGGCAAAGATGGGCCTTCATACTTCTCTTCAGGCGGAAGCTTCTGCCACACTCGGGACATGGGAAAGGCCTCTCTCCGCTGTGCAGCCTCAGGTGCTCAGTGAGCTTGCACTGCTGGACAAAGTCCCTGCCGCACTCCCTGCAGCAAAAGGGCCGCTCCCTCTTGTGCAAACACAGGTGCTTCTTCAAGTTGGCTTTATACCGGAAGGTCTTGCCACATTCAGGGCATGGGAAGGGCTGCTGCCCTGTGTGGACCACCTGGTGAGTGATGAGGCTGCACTTCAGACAGAAGCTCTTCTTGCACTCACCGCATTGGAACCGCTGCCTCTTACACAGGAACGTCTGTGTCCGCCTGCGTTCTGATTTCCCTCTGGATCTATTTTTGTACTTTGGATATCTACAGAGCTGGTTCTTGCAGTGGCTCCTTTTGTGCTTTATCAAGTCATTCTTTACCTCAAAGACTTTCCCACAGAGAAAGCAGGAATAAAATCTTGGCCCTGGTGGAATTTCCAAGTGCCCTGGGGTATCCAGAGGCTTATGCCACGGATCTTTCTTGTCCTGATTAGATGCTGGCATGTTAAGTTTTTTATTTAGAATCTCTGTTTCTTGGAGACTTGGAGATTGTAAAGTGGCTCTCTGATCTGATGAAATCTTTCTTTCCTTCCCTGGAAAGGAAGCACACAAGTCCTGTTTTTGAAGACTGTTTAAATAGCATTCCTCCTCTTTGCCCTGAGAGTTCCTTGGGCATCTGAAGAAAAAAAATACCACTCTCATCAGTGACATGTCTGTTCTCTAGTGGGCTTCAAGGACTGTCTTCATGTCACTAACAAAGTGGGAAAGGGAATCCCATTAAAGTCAGTGACTCTGTGAATTTGCCTCACCCAGGTAAATTACATTTAGCTTTCATATTCCTTTCATCATGTGTTAAGATATGGCTTGGAAAAAAAAAATCGCAAGCAAATATATCTTTTGGACCTATAGATGACCCTCAGAGCAGAAGATGGAGACAATTAAAAATGAGTTACTCTGAGTAACTCCAACTTCTGCTCTGAGGGTCACCTATAGGTTCACTTCTGTGAAAATAAGTCCTATGACCAAGGTAGGCACTCCCTACCAGTTAGATAACTGAATTAATAGACAGTGGCAGTGAATTCTTCTTTCCTTTTGAAGGTTCACTTCTGTGAAAATAAGTCCTATGACCAAGGTAGGCACTCCCTACCAGTTAGATAAGTGAATTAATAGACAGTGGCAGTGAATTCTTCTTTCCTTTTGAATTCCTTGAAAATTCTTCTATCCTTCTGATGGAGTTTGGACACATTCCCCAGGTTCAAATTCCCCTTTTCCTCAGAGGAGTTCCTTGACTCCCAGGGACTAAGTAAAGTATTAACATACTATAAAAAGTGAAATAAAGTGAAACATACTATAAGAGGAGTTCCTTGACTCCCAGGGACTAAGTAAAGTATTAACATACTATAAAAAGTGAAATAGTCCCTTAAACATTAAAAGTGTTAAGATATTTCAAATGTTTCTGTATGATATAAGGAATTCAAAAGAATTCCTTCAAAAGGAATGAAAAAACTCCAAGTTCTAAAAATCTGTAAGATAAAATATTGCATACACAAAAAAAATCACACAAAATTGGAAGTTTCTTTTTAAAATAATGTATATATAACTTCCTTCTCCATAAAAGTAATATATTCTCACATTTGCTATCTACTTGACTAAAAATCACTAACACTCTACATCAAAACAGTGTTTCTTATTAACTAGGTCTAGCCAAGTATCCAGAAAGAAAGATTCAGGAAACAAGGCTAAGAAAACTAAATGATTCATGACATTAAGTCCATGTTACTCACCAAAACATGGTGACTTTCCAGTATTCTTCAAGTCCAACAGCTCATCAGCAGAAGGGACGACTGTCATTCTCATTTCGTCTAAGCATCCCTGATCTCTGATTAACAGCATTCTCCCTTGTTCCATCCAGGTGATCAAATCTGGCTTCGAAAAAGCACAACCTGCAAAGACAGTCCACACGGACTCATTGTGGGTTTACTGAGTACTTGACTAAAAGACGTTTTCACGGTGTACTTCGATTCTTGGAGACATGAGATCAAAGTTAGTTAAAAAAGTGGAAGCCCTTGAAATTATATGAATGACAATTGAATATAGCCTAACTAAGACTGTTTAGCTGAAATGTTCTCTGCAATATTTTACACAATTAAAGGAAGCAAAGAAGTGAAGGATGAGGAGGATTTTAAAAAGGCTGATGTCTATGACCTTACCACCCTGAAAGCTCCCCAAATCGTCTGACCTCAGAAGCTAAAAAGGCTGACATCCAGGCAGAAGGTATTCAAAGGTTATCATTATGAGAACAATATAAGCAGAGAAAAAGAAAACTCACAGGGGGTTAAAAAGCAAACCTCAATCACTAAACTTTTCTGATAATCCACATCCAAGGAAACTAACTCTTGGGGTGCCAAAGTTTTTAATGTAGTGAAAGAAACAGGAGGTTGTTTTAAGACAGTGACTATTAAGAGGTAGAGAGTAATGTAGTCTAATGGCATAAACCTAAAGAAAAGAAGGGTTTTCATAAGTCAGTGGAGTGATTTTAGAAGATGCAGCAGGAAGCTTCTTTCTCTGTTAACCTTTGGTGGTGTTCCCTCAGGCTTAGGTCTCAGATCTATGTTTCTCAAAGTGAACTGTATACCACCAGCATTAGGAGCACTGCAAATGCTTGTTAAGAATGCAGATCTCTGTATCTGAAACTGGACCTGCTAAACCCTAAAATCGGGCTGGGATTTGGGTGTTCTGTAAAGAAAATCATTTGCAAATAATACTATTTCGTTTTTAAAATCTGGGAAAGTCGGACTAAATTTTCCATGTCCAAGGACACTAATTGTGATAACTCAAAACTTATCACAGGAATCAGCACATGGCTCTCGCTTCTCTTAACCTGCTAGCCATTCAGCCTCAGTCTCCTCAGCTAGACCTCTAAATGCTGGGTGTTCCAGGGCTCTCTCTATCCTACCTACGTATTCTCCCTAGATAATTCTAACTATCCCCGTGGTTTAAAATACCATCCATATAATGGATCCCAAATCTATAAATCTAGTCCTGACCTTTACTAGGAATTCCAGTAGCATACCCAGTTATCTTTCCACAGAATGGCTAACAACAATCTTAAAGTTAATGTGGTCGAAACCTGCTGCCTCCCCAAGTCTTCCTCATGTCAGTGAACAAAGCCACTCCACAGCAAGATACTCAAACTGAAAACCTAGGCATTGATTCTTCTTGCACTTTTATACTCCACATCAAATCCATTGCAAAATCTGGAATTCTACCTCCAAAACATATCTGAAGACCACCTACTTCTTGCTGTCTTTATTACTACCTACCTGGTTCAGCTGCCATAATATCTCACCAGTATTGACAAGGCTCCTGGCTGGTCTCTCGCCTTTGATTACTATGCACCACAATTCATTCTCTGTATTGCAATCCAAGTAATTGTTAAAAAATTATATATTACCCCCTTCTGTTTAAATCCCCCCATAATCTTCCTCTTGTATTTAGAATAAAATCTAATTCCTCATCTTGGCTGCATGCGCTACAATCGTCTCATTGTGGTTCCCAACACACTGAGCTCATTTAATCCTACCTTTGGGACTTTGCACTAGTTTTTCCCTCTTTCTAGAATTCTCTTCCCTATGGTTTCACATGGTTGACTCCTTCTTGTCATTCATATCTCAGAGGAATAAGTTATAAACCCCCAAACAGGAAATCAATCCTCAGGTTAGACTGAGATCTCTTATTGAATTGCTACTAGTAGAAATGGTTTTTAATGACACAAGAATGAGTTAGACTGAGTTGGATAAGCACCAAGGTATAATTTCCCCAAAGTTCTCTTTAATCTACTCCTTAAATATTTCCCTGTAGATATCTGTGTCCCATACCACGGCTTCTCTACCCAGGCAACCTTTCTTCCATGTTGTATCCACACTGTGTGCTGTGTTGTTTTCCAGCTTATTCTAACTTTATAAATGTGTCCCCTTCATGAGAGCCATAGTTTTTGTAAAGATGGAAAATTCATCTTATTCAGGCAACATACACAGCTACTAAAGTATTAGATAAAGGAATACAAGAAAACACTTAAAAAAAAAAAAAGAGAAGCAATTAGATTACTTAGTAATCCTAACTGTGGAAGAAATGGGGGAGGCTTATGGTGGCAGATAGAGAATTCAGAGTATTAATAATACTGAAGTGCTGGCCCGTTAGCTCAGTTGGTTAGAGCATGGCCTTATAACACCAAGGTCATGGGTTTGGGTCCCCATACTGGCCAGCCACCAATAATAGTAATAATAATAATAATAATAATAATAATAATAATAATAATACTGAAGACACAGATAGCATTGGATAAAAAGGACAAGTTAGATGTTCCCAGGCTGTTACAGGAAGTTAAGGAGACATCATGAATGTAAATTGGGCACAGTATCATATTCAATCAGCCAATGGCTGATACATGGAAGAAAGCCTATTAGTATTAGGTCAGATCCCAAAAAGTGATTCCTTAGAAGCCCATCTTACCCAGGGAATCAAGGGTTGCATAATTGGCCTTCATCACTTGTTTATACATTTCCTGCTGCCATTTCTCAAGGATCTCCCACTCTTGTTCCGAAAAATATAAAGCCACATCATCAAATGTCATGGTTACCTGGAATCACAAACATTATACAGATACATTTTCACTTTAAGGTTACTTTGTTTTTCAGTGTCCATGACTTTATTAAGAGACAGAAATCAGTCGTATTCATCACCTCCAGGTGGTGCCATATATTGAACAATATATTAATGGAGTCACGAATATGCACTGGAGCCATGTAAAGTGAGGGAATGAATCCCTTCATTCAGGCCTTTGAGCACATGTACTATCTAAAGGGGGATCTTTTACTCAGCAGCAACCAACTAGTGGTATGCAAGGCTGAGCCCAATGTGGCTGGATGTGTTAATTTTTAAAAATCTTTTTATTTTGAAATAATTTTAGATTCACAGGAAGTTGCAAAGATAGTACACAAAGGTTCCATGTACTGGTCACCTGGTTTCCCCCAAAGATTATAGTGTACATTATTACAGAATAATTTCAAAACCAGGAAATCAACATTGGTACAGTAGGCATAAAATTCTATGCGGTTTCATCACGTGCTGATTGACTTTGTGACCACCACTGCAATCAAGAAACAAAACTATCCCATCACAACAAAGAGCTCTCTTGTTCCAACCCTTTATAATCACACCCACTGATCTATTATTTATTGCTACAATTTTGTCATTTCAAGAATGTTTTATTAGTGGGATCATATAGTATGTGACCTTTTGAAACTGACTTTTTTCCACTCAGCATAAAATCCTTAAGATCCATCCAAGTTGTTGTGTTTATCAATATTTCATTTCCGTTTTACTGCTGAGTAGTATTCCATAGTATAAATGTGCAATGGTGTGATTAACTATTTGCCTATAGAAGGGTACTTTGGTTGTTTCCATTTTTTGGCTATTACAACACAAGCTTCTATGAACAATCATGTATAGGATTTTCGGTGGGCATAGGTTTTCATTTTCTGGGATAAATGCCCAGGAATACAAATGCTGTATTGTATGGTGAGTATATGTTTAGTTTTAAAATAAACTGCCAAACTATTTTCCAGAGTGGTTAAACCATTTTACTAGCCACATATGAGACATACAGTTTCCTAGCATCCTCACCAGTATTTGTTAATGTCACTATTTTTTAACTGAACTGTTGTAATAGGTATATAGTGACATCTCATTGTGGTTTTAATTTTCATTTTCTTAATGAGTAATTATATTGAACATCTTTTCATGTGTTTATTTCCCATACATATATTCTTCTTGGTGAAATGTCTCTTTATATCTTTTGCCCATTTTCTTGTTGGATTTTTCCTTTTTTACTGTTCAGTGAGAGTTCTTTATATGAGAACCTTTGTCAGATACATGGTTTGCAAATATGTTCCCTTAGTCTGTGTCTTGTCTTTTCACCAACTTCAGAGGATCTTTCATGGAGCAAGAGTTTTTAATTTTGATTATGTCCAATTTATTGCTTCTTTCCCTTTATAGATTGTGCTTTTGGGGCCGCACCTAAGAACTTTTCACCATGCCTTAGGTCCCAAAGATTATCTCCTGTGTCATCTTCTACAGGCTTTATATTTATAGCTTTATATTTTACATTGGGATGTGTCCGTTTTTAAAGAGAAACTGGAAATACGCACCATTTTATGTGACTCCCCCTGATTTTTATATCTTGGCAACTAAAATTTTAATGACAAGTGTTAGTCCAAGCAAAATGTCTGCAAAACCATGATTGGCTCATGGACCATTAATCTACAACCTCCGGTATGAACTGACTAACCCAGGCTGCTCTTCCAGGGGGTTTCAAGGACAGATCCACTGTGCCAATAGGGAAGGAACGACAACATACACAACCTTGGAAAATTCTACTTTCACTCCTTTCAGATTCTGTGCTATAAATGTAGATGAGAGCCTACCGAAAAAAAAAAAGTGCTGGACATCTTGAAAGATATCTAGGGCTCTTCCCATGTTTATAAAAATGTTGGTCACAAATACTACAAAGTAAATTCACATATAAGGGAATCTAGGAAACCTCACAACTAAGGGGAATGGACCCTCAGGTTTTGGAGAGAAAAGCTGCAGAGGTGAAATTGTATCATCAAAACTATTATGGGCACTGCAAGCTGAAGTATCAGCTACGATAACAAACAAGTTCAAACTTGGTGTTTACATAACGGGATTTCTACAATTCTCTTGTACCTCACCCATGTGTTTTCCACCTACAAAAGACTCATTCGTGAGCATATTCACAATTAGCACTGAACTCCTCCAGTGAAAGGGAAAAAAAAAAAAATCAAGAAAATGATGACTTCTTCCCTAGCCCAAATAATACAATAGCCATGAAGCTGTCACCCCATTTTCTATGGACTCAAACATACAGCCAAAAAGGTCTACCACAAACTACCAACTTTCACAGAACAGAGAGGGATATTCCAGAAAGTTCCCAACCACTTATAGAAGGGGGGGGTGGTGGAGGTGGGGAGCCTGGCTGAAGAGACAGAGCTTGAAGAAACCTTAAAAGAATTACTTGTACCTGCCAGGAGGCTGGATAAAGGACGTGGGAAGCAGAAGGAAAGAGTAAAAGAGCCATTAGGACGCATTCTTACTAGTAAGATTACTAAATGCCGGTGGGGGCACAAGGAAAACTTGCAGATTTGAGCAGGTAGTGAGGGGCTTCTCTGAAGCCACCTTCAGCAGCAGAGCACGGAACAGCCACGACCGCTATACCCGAGCCCAGGAGAGACCACCAGGTTCAGAGCCGCGACGCTGAGGGCGGGGACAGCGGGGGATCGGAGCGAACAGGCCAAGGCACTGGATTTCTCCCAGATCACTCCAGAACGACACGCGCACCCAGACCGCGCCTCCTCCAGCCCGGGCTGGGGGCTCGTTCCGTGGGCCGCACGCGCTCCCCCCGGCCGGGGCTCCCGCCGCCTCACTCCCTAGACCGGGACCCCGCACAAGCCGCGACAGGGCCCAGAGTCTTGGCAGGGCCCGCATCCTCCACCGGCTCCTCTTACCGGAGCCGGCTCGGCCATGGCCCCTCACAGTCCTGCCCGGCCCCGGTTCCGGCAACCCTTGGCCTGTTCGCTCCGATCCCCAGAAGAGGGGCCCGAGGGCCACTGCCCACCAGTCTGTGACGGATCCTCGGACTTTCCTGGGACCCCCAAGAGAGGGAAGCAGTGGGACACGAGCTGAAGATTGAAGTGAGAGCTGGGAATGGAGACAGAAGAGACAGGGACAGGGAGACACACCGTGCACAGAAACCGACTGAGAGACCAGAGAGCTTGTGTGGGTTTGGTTCCTCCCCAAAGCAGACGCTGAGTCTAGGATTCGATTGAAGGGATTCGTCTGTGAGGGGATCCCAGGAACCAGGAGACGGAGCTGGGAAATGAGAGCCGGAAGGAGGTGAGAGGGAGAGGGGCAGCCACTTCGGACAGGCTGTCCACGTGGGCGAGGGATCCAACCTGCTGAGGACTCTGGAGGATGGGAGAGCACACCCTAGGGCTGTCCCACCAAGGACAGGAGGCTGCGTGTTTGTCCACCAAGTCCTGTCCCTCCTTGGCCGAGGGCACTTCTGGTCCAGCCGGGCACAGTCCCCCATGTCTCTGGGAGCTGCCTGCACCAGCCACATCCAGCTGAGAGTGACACAGAGAGGTGGAGAAAAAGACAGAAAGAAGGGAATGAAAAGGGGAATGAGAAACACGGAAAAGAGACAAAAGTAGGGAGAGAGATGGACACAGAAAGGAGATAGCACAGGGAGACAGAGAAGAGACATCCTGCTGGGTGTTGCTTTGCCTCCCATGGTTTTGTCACCCCTTTTCCCCTGGGTGACAGAGCCGCCAAAGATTACTCAAAGCCCATCCCTTTTGAGCAGTGAGAAGCCTCAAAAAGGGGTTAATCCATCTCTTTTGAGCAGTGAGAAGCCCCAGAAAGGGGTTAATATCCCAGAACTTCCTCAAGCACAAGGCATTTCTTCCATTTGGGAAATTAACCATGAATTGGGGTTCTCTTCCTGCATTTATTCTCCAGACCAGCAAGTTACAGGAAGAGACATAGTTGGGGTTTTGCTAAGTACAGTTTAACAAGTTTTTACAATAGAAGCTGGTAACGTTCAGTAAAAACAAGTCAGATGACATTCTGTTAGGCAATTAAGTGATCCACTAACAAAGGCTTGATTTAGCCAACATTCCTTTTCCCTCCAGCAGCTTTTTAGTAACTTTACATATCAATTAGTAACTTGTCTGTCTTAGAACCAGCAGCCTTGCTGTGTTATGATTCTTATCTTGCAACAGAGACTCAATAGCCTGGGGAAAATTTCCTGTCCTTTGCAAGGTCAGTATTTGAAACTTCAAGGCTTTGGAAAACCAGGCCCAGTGAAGTACATTTGCTTTATGAATCCTCCACAGCTGGGGACTCTGGAGGATGGGAGAGCACACCCTAGGGCTGTCCCACCAAGGACAGGACGCTGGGTGTTTGTCTACCAAGTCCTGTCCCTCCTTGGCGGAGGGCACTTCTGGTTCAGCCTTGCATAGGCCAAGCTCCTCTCTTGACCAGACAACACCCTGGGACAGAGAGACAACGGAAGCCACCCATGTCTTGGGAGCTAACTGCAGGGGACTGAGCTTGGCTGGTGCAGCATCTGTGGGAGACCGAGGCAGAGAGGTGGAGAAAAAGAGGGGAATGAAATGGGGAATGGAAAACACAGAAAGAGAGAAAAAAAGGTAAGGAGAGAAATGGAGAGACAGAAAGGGGTAGCAAGGGAGAGACAGACAGAAAGAGAAGAGAGAGGGAGAGGAAGAGGGTGGCACATGTCCCTAGAAGATGATCCTCAAATTCTATGCTGATAATATTTTAGGTGTCAGGCTAAAGTAATGAAGAAAAAGTGTGCAGCTTGCGGGAGGATATAAAATAGCCCCTGGTGATGTATGTCCAAGTGTATGTGTATGTTGGATTAATGTAGACTAGTGAAATGTACATGTCGTTAACTTTTTTTTATTATTATTTAAGTTGTCAGTAAAGTTAACATTCTTTCAGTGTAAAGTTCTATGAATTTTAACACATGTA